CCCGGCAGACATCGCCTGCGACTGCCTTGCATTGTGCCTGCCTCTGTAAAACTAACTGCATTGTGCCTGCCTCTGTAAAACTAACTGTACCGTGCCTGCCTCTGTAAAACTAACTGCATTGTGCCTGCCTCTGTAACTTAACTTTAACTGCATTGTGCCTGCCTCTGTAACTTAACTCTAACTGCGTTGTGCCTGCCTCTGCAAAACTAACTGCGTTGTGCCTGCCTCTGTAACTTGAACTTTAACTGCGTTGTGCCTGCCTCTGTAACTTAACTGAACTTTAACTGCGTTGTGCCTGCCTCTGTAACTTAACTTAACTTTAACTGCGTTGTGCCTGCCTCTGTAACTTAACTTAACTTTAACTGCATTGTGCCTGCCTCTGTAACTTAACTTAACTTTAACTGTGTTGTGCCTGCCTCTGTAACTTAACTTTACTGCATTGGTTTGGAGCTGCCCTGCCCTGGCACATAGTTAGAGTTAGGTGGAACAATTATAAAAGGTTACAGTTCCTCTTTTCTATCAGGTTTTTGTGTAGAAAATATGTGGGCCTAGAGGGTGGTTGAGTCATAGCTACCATAGAATTCCTCACTGACCACCTTGTCTTGTATTGCAGGTCTCTGATGCCTATTTTCTGAGGATCTACCGTTTGATGTTGAGAAGCAGCAGTGAGAAGATATCTGAGGGCATTTTGTTCAGCAGAGTGTTTCAAATAAGGGTTGTGGTCACTGTGCGAGTTAGTCTGCTGCTGTATGTCAGAGTGTGTCTGTCTGTGAGAGTTGGTGGTTCTGGGTCTGCTTGTGTGCATGTGTGTCGAGTGGTTCTAACCTGGTATGTATGGCTTTTGCTTTTCAGGACTTGCAATTCACTTTTAAATTTAGAATAAAAAATCCCCAGCTGGGGGTTTTTTTTTTTTTTCCCTCCCAGCTGGGGTTTTTTTTCCTCGGTCCCGGCCGGTCTGCGAGGCGACAGTCATCGCCAAAGTTTGGGCACGGACCGGCCCCGGACCGAGGTTTTCGTCAGGCAGGCTGAATTCGAGGCCCCCCGGGAACCGAGTTCCCGTGGGGTAGGAGGGGGGTGTGCGTTTGTGTCGAGTGGTTCTAACCTGGTATGTATGGCTTTTGCTTTTCAGGACTTGCAATTCACTTTTAAATTTAGAATAAAAAATCCCCAGCTGGGGGGGTTTTTTTTTTTTCCCTCCCAGCTGGGGTTTTTTTTCCTCGGTCCCGGCTGGTCTGCGAGGCGACAGTCATCGCCAAAGTTTGGGCACGGACCGGCCCCGGACCG